CGGGGTCTCGCTCTTGCTCAGGCTGGTCTCAAACTCCTGAGCTCAAACAATCCGCCCACCTCGGCCTCCCAGAGTGCTATGATTACAGGCGTGAGCCACCGCGCCCGGCCTGACTTGAGGCTTTTTTACAGTTACTGTTTTTTCTTAATAAGCAGAAGGAGTACACTCCAGAATAATGATAAAAAGTATAATGTAGTAAATACTAGGCAACAGGAATTTTTCAGCTCCATTATAATTTTATGGGACCACCATTGTATATGGGTCTGTCGTTGACAAACATCATTATGTGGTGCATGACTGTACTTTTAATGTTATGTATTTTTCTCAAGGGTCTGTTTAGAATGATCTTTCGTGTATTTACCTCCACATTTTGTTTTGTTTTTCGTATTTTGTTTCTATTAGGAGAGAACATTGAAGTTATTCTCTAAGCTATTAGAAGAGAGTGACTAAATGCACCTGGGTCAGGCTGTCTGTGGGTATGAAGTGGTTGGGAGAATCCAAGAACATGGTGGTGAATGGCAGGAGAAATGGAGGCAAGTTGTCTAATGACCATCAGCAGAATCAGTCAAAACTACAGCACACGGGGAAGGACACCCTGAAGGCTGGCAAAAGCGCAGTCGAAAGGAGGTCAAGCAGATGTATGTATACACTTAAACAGATGATGTATGGCTGTTTGGATTGTGATATGCGGCAGTAATTCCTTCCAGTTTGTAATGTGCCTTCTGTTTTCTTTTGTCATCAGAACAATATTTTACATTTTCATAGTTAACAGTATAATTTTTTTACTTTCAAAGTCATATCAGTTTTCTCAAACAATATGTAAAACTTAAATTTCATACTTAATATAATCTTAATCATGCTTTTCTGTCCATAACTTCAAATTATATTTTGTGGAATTTATACCTGAATGGTTATTATGTAAAAATTTTAAAAACACTGCTTCTGAATTTCTTATAGTTTGTTTAAATGGTGTTTTTTTATATTCAATGTAAGTATAAGTATGTACTTCTATGCTGATGTCCATAAACGTTGTATGAAGTAATGTGAATAATAAAATCAACTATTAACCTACATAAGTAGAAAGGAGGACAGATAGAACTGACTGGATGAAAGCAGCTTCACAAATCGTAGATACTTACTCTGTTTATACGGGGTAAACAGTTGTTTGCCCTCACAGCGAAACACTGCTGATAACAAGTTAACTTTATTACCTCTGTGTCTCTTGATGAGGATGAGGCTGCTTTTTGAGAATTCAGGAAATCGGAGGTTTAGTACACATTTCATACTTCCTCTAAGAGTAGTAAAATGTCTGAGGATAATTGTAAAACTAGGTAGCTATATGTCCAAAAAGTCATCCACGTTTGTATGCCCGCGTTAAGGAGGACAATTTTTTTTCAGTTTCTGCTTTTCCTAACAATCTAGCCTAGCCACTATTGAATATCCTTGGTTAGTGGTGGAATTGGCCTATTCCCAGTGCTTTGGATTAGCCTGGGGTTTTCTATGGTTTCAGATAGATTGTACCAGTTCTGACTGTACCAGTTTCAGATAGATTGTACCAGTACTTCTTTCTTTTTAGGAGTTTATGCTACTTATTGGGCCTAGGCTATCCTTAGCCTTCCACATCAGATTAGGTCACTGTTACTATAGGAAACCAGGCAGAATTCCTACTTGCGATGGAAATAGGAAAGGGCCTGAAACTGACCAGGCTGTCCTCTGCATGGACACTGGCTCACTCCTGAGGTTGCATTAAGCATGCACCCTGATCCTGTCTTCACCCCTTAGCATTTGGTGGGAACCTGAAGAATTGAGAAATGTAGTGACCGTATTGGTGGTGTTGGTTCTGGTCAGTAAATTGGGCATCTCTTAAGCTTTTTACCTAATTGCTGTTGGCTTCCTTTTGTACATCATAGTGCAGAAATGTTTTAATTAGTTTAATCCTTGGAAATACACAAGCATTTAGGAAATTACCATTATGTGGGTTACACTTTGCCAAGTGTAGGTAAATACAGAGGGATGGGTTGGGAAAGCCCAGAGTGTGTAGATGACGGCATTGGGCAAGAATGGTGCAAAACTAGAGCCAATGATGAAGAGAAGCAGGAGAGCACAGAGCAGTGCTGCATCTAAGATAAGATGCAGTGACTTCACCTAACATCAGAGCCTCAACATACATGAAGCAAAAACTGACAAAATTGAAGGGAAAAATAGTTTGACGATAATTTGGAGCCTTCAATAGTTCACTTTCAATAATGGATAGAACAACTTAAACAACACTGTAAACCAACTACACCTCACAGGCTTCTATAGAACATTCCACCCAGCAACAGCAGAATACACATTCTTCTCAAGTACACATGGAGCATTCTCTAGGATAGAAAGTATATTCTCTGATCACAGTGGAGTAAAATTAGAAATCAGTAACAGAAAGAAATTTGGGAAATTCATGAATACGTGGAAGTTAAACAATATGCTCCTAAATAATCAGTAAATCAAAGTAGAAAACAAAAGGGAAATCAGAAAACATTCAATGAATAAAAAGGAAGGCACAACATACCAAAACAGCAGATGCAACTAAAGCAGTGGCTTAATGGGAAACTTATAGTTGAGAAGTCTATATTGAAAAAGAAGGACGATCATAAGTCAATAACCTAATCCTCCACCTTAAAACACCAGAAAACGAAGAGTGAAGGAAAGAAATAATAAAGATTAGGATGGAAATTAATGAACTAGAGAATAGAAAAACAGAGAAAACCAACAAAAATAAAAGTTGGTTTTTGAAAAGATCAACAAAATTGACAAACCTTATGGAAGACCAAAAAATGAAGACTCAAATTACTAAGATCAAGAATGAAAGAGGAGACATTGCTATGACCTTACAGAATTAAAAAAGATTACAACATAATACCATTAACAGCTATATACCAACAAATTAGATAACTTAGATAAAATGGACAGATTCTTAAAAGCAAACTACTGAAACTGATTCAAGAAGAAATAGAGGCTGGGCACAGTGGCTCACACCTGTAATCCTAGCACTTTGGGAGGCCGAGGTTCTAGACCAGCCTGACCCCATCTCCATAAAAATTAAAATTAGCTGGATGTGGTGGCCTGCACCTTTAGTTCCAGCTGCTTTAGAGAGTGAGGTGGGAGGGTTGCTTGAGCCTAGAAGTTCAAGGCTGCAGTGAGCTATGATGGTATCACTGCACTTTTTAGCCCAGGTGACAGAGTAAGACCCTGTCTCTGGAAAAAAAAAATCTGAAAAAACCTATAATGAGTAAAGGAAGAGAACCAGTAATTAATAAAACAAAAACAAAAAAACTACCCAAAAGGAAAACTCAGGTCCCAGATGACTTCTTGGTGAATTTTGCCAGATGTCTAAAGAAGAATTAATAGCATCACAAACTTCCACAGAATAGAAGGGAAAGGAACACTTTCTAGCTCATTTTATTACCCTGTTACCAAAACCAACGACATCGCAAGAAAACTATAGAGCAATATCCCTTATGAATATAGACATGAAAATCCTCAACAAAATATTAATACTACCAGTCCAAATCCAGGAACATATAAAAAGGATTCTACAACACGACCCAGTGGGATTTATTCCAGGAATGCAAGGTTGATTTAACATTTGAAAATCAATGTAATACATCATATCAATAGAATGAAGGACAAAAATCACATGATCATCTCAACAGATGCAGAAAAAGCATTTGGCAAAATCCAGCACCTTTTTAGAATACACACACTAAACAAACTAGGACAAGAAAATACCCCAACTTGATGAAGGAAGGAAATTTATGAAAAACCACAGCTAATGTCATATTTAATGGTGAAAGACTAAATGTTTTTCCCAATGAAATCAGGAACAAGACAAAGATATCCACTCTCGCCACTTTTTTTTTTTTTTTTAAGAGACCGGTTCTCAACCGGGCGCCGTGGCTCCCGCTTGTAATCCTGGCACTCTGGGAGGCCGAGGCGGGAGGATCACTTGAGCTCAGGAGTTTGACACCAGCTCTGAGCAAGAGTGAGACCCTGTCTCTACTAAAAATAGAAAAAATTAGCAAGTCAACTAAAAATAGAAATAAAAAATTAGCCGGGCGTGGTGGCTCGCTCCTGTAGTCCCAGCTACTCGGGAGGCTGAGGCAGGAGAATCGCTTGAGCCCAGGAATTTGAGGTTGCTGTGAGCTAGGCTGACGCCACGGCACTCTAGCCTGGGCAACACAATGAGACTCTGTCTCAAAAAAAAAAAAAAAGACTGATTCTCAGTCTGTTACCCGAGCTGGAATGTAGTGGTGCTGTCATAGCTCGTTGCAGCCTAGAACTCTTGGGCTCAAGCCATCCTCTCACCTCAGCCTCCTGAGTAGCTGGGACTACAGGCACGCACCAAATGGAGACAAAGTTTCTCTGCTCTGTGGGGTTTTGCTCAGGCTGGTCTAAAACTCCTGGCCTCGAGTGATCCTTCCGCCTCAAAAGCCCCAAAGCCTTGGGATTATAGATGGAATCACCACACCCGACTCACCGTCACCACTTCTATTCAACATTGTACTAGAGGTTCTAGCCAGGGCAGTTAGGCAAGAAAATGAATTAAAAGGCATCCAAATTGGGTAGGAAGAAGAGAAACTATCTCTGTTTGCACATGACATGTTTGCATGTATAGAAAACTGTTAAGGAATCTACTACAAAATTACAGGTTGAGTATTCCTTGTCCAAAATACATGGGACCAGAAGTGTTTTAGATTTTGGATTTTTTCAGATTTTGGAATATTGCATTATCAAACAACTCAGGGGTTAGGGTGCCGAATTTCCCTGCCCTGCATACCGTCAAGAATCTGCATATAACTTTTGACTCCTCAGAAACTTAACTGCTATGGACCTGAAGCCTTACTGATAACACAAACAGTTATGAACGTGTATTGTATGTTACATGTATTATATACTGTAGTCTTATAATAAAGTAAGCTAGAGAAAAGAATATGTTATTTAAGAAAATCATACGGAAGAGAAAATATATTTACTAATTAAGTGGAAGTGGATATTCATAAAGGCCTTCATCCTTGTCATCTGCACATTGAGTAGGCAGAGGAACAGGATTGATTGGTCTTGCTGTCTCAGGGTATAGTTGGAAGAAAATCCACATATAAGTAGACCCATGTAGTTCAAACTCATGTTCAAGGGTCAGCTGTGCTTACCAGTTGAGCATCCCTAGTCCAAAAATCTGAGATGCTCCAATGAACATTTACATTGAGTGTCATGTTGGCACTCAAAAAGTTTCAGATTTCAGGTTTTCAGATTAAGGATACTGAACTTGTATTAGAATTGATAAACGAGGCCAGGTTTGGTGGCTTATACCCGTAATCCCAGTGCTTTGGGAGGTCAAGGCAAGAGAATCACTCAAGGCCAGGAGTTCAAGACCAGCCTGGGCAACATAGTGAGACCTTTTAAAAAATTTTAAGATTGGCCAGACATGGTGGTGCATACCAGTAATCCCAGCTACTCAGGAGGCTGAGGCGGGAGGATTGCTTGAGCCCAGAAGTTAGAGGTTACAGTGAGCTGTGATCACACCACTGCACTCTAGCCTGGGGGACAGCAAGACCCTGTCTCTTAAAAAATAATAATAATCAGTTCAAGGTTGCAGGATACAAGCAAGATCAGTATGCAAAAATTAATTGTATACTCATACACTTGCAATGAGCAATCCAAAAAGGAAATTAAGAAAACAGTCTCATTCACAGTGATACCCAAAAGGGGAATAAATTTTACAAAAGAAGTATAAAACTTGCACTCTGAAAACTACAAAACATTATTGAAAGAAATTAAAGACAACCTAAGTAAGTGGAAAGAAGACATCTGTTCGTTGGTTGGAAGACAATATCATTAAATTGGCAGTACTCCTCAAGTCCATGGACTCAACACAGTCCCTATCCAAATACTAACCAGCTTCTTTACAGAACATGACAAGCTGATCCTGAAATTCTTACAATCTTAGACTTTTAAGGGACCCAGAATATCCAAAACAATCTTGAAAAATAACAAAGTTGAAGAACTCACACTTCCTGATTTCAGAACTCACTATAAAGATACAGTAGTCAAGGCAGTGATACACTGGCATATAGATAGGCATGTAAATCCATGGAATAGAATCAGGAGTCCAGAATAAATGCTCACATATTTGGTCAATTGATTTTTGGCAAGAATGCCAAGAAAATTCAGTGGGGAAGGAATAGTCTTCTCAACAAATGGTGTTGGGAAAATTGGATATCCATGTGCAAAAGAATGAAGTTGAACACCTATCTCACCATATGTGACTCAAAATGTATCAGAGACCTAAATGGAAAAGCAAAACCTATAAAACTCCTAGAAGAAAACATATGGATTAATTTCCTGACTTTGGATTAGGCGGTGACTTCTTAGATAGGACACTAAAAACACAAGGAATAAACAAAAAATAGATAAACAGGAATTCATCAAAATTGTAGACTTTTTGCTGGGTACAGTGGTGAGCACCTGTACCAGCTACTTGGAGGCTGAGATAAGAGAATCTCTTGAGCCCGGGAGTTCAAATCCAGCCTAGGCAACATAGTGAGACCCCATCTCTAAAATAAATAAATAAGTTAAAAATTGCAAACTTTTGTGCTTTAAGGGACACCATCAAGAACCTGAGAAGACAACCACAGAATGGGAGAAAATATTTTCAGATCATATATCTGATGACGGACTAGTATCCAGAATATATAAAGAACTCTTTATAACAGTAAAAGACAAAACCCAGTTCTAAAATGGGCAAAGGATCTGAACAGATAGAAATTTCTCCAAAGATATACAAGCATCCACTTAGCACATGAAAAGACATTCAACATCATTAATAATCAGGGAGTGCAAATCAAAATCACAAGATAACACTTCACAACTACTAGGATGTCTGGAATCAAAAAGACATAATAATAAGTCTTGTTAAGGATGTGGAAAATTTGGAATTCTGATACGTTGCTGGTAGGAATGTAAAATAGTGCAGTTTGGAAAACAGTCTGACAGTTCCTCAGTGGTTAAATATAGGGTTACCATGTAACTCCCAGCAGTTCCACTCCTAGGTGTGTACCTAAGAGAATTGAATGCATACTTACACACAATAACTTTTGCACAAATATTTGTAGCTGCATTATTCATAGTAGCCAAAAAGTGGAAACAACTCAAATGTCCACCAGTAGATGAATGGACAAACAAAACATGGTGTATAGCCATATAATGGCATATGAATTGACCATAGTAAGAGATGAAGTACTGATGTATGGATGAACCTTGAAAACATTATGCTAATTGAAAGAAGCCAGTTACAAAAGGTTACATTATATGATTCCATCTATATGAAATTTTCAGAATGGGCAAATCCATAGAAGCAGAAAGTAGATTCATGGTTCCCAGGGGTTGTGCAGGAGAGAGGAAGGGGTAGAGACTACTAATGGATATGGGGTTTCTTTTAGGGGTCATGGTTGAATGACTATGAATACGTTAAAAAACATTGACTTGTACACTAAATGGGTGAATTGTATGGCATGTGAATTATATTTCCACGAAGCTGTTATAGAAAATACAACAACTCTGATAGTTTTTCACATATCTAATAATTGCAATATTTGCAAATAATTTGATTGCAAAATCATGTGTCTACCCTTGGCAGGAACTTACATGTGTTTATTTTGTTTTTTGAAAGAGTGAATGAAAAGAAGGTTAATCTGTGCCTCTTGTTCTTCCAAGATTTTTTTTTTTTTTTTTTTGAGACAGAGTCTCACTGTGTTGCCCCGGCTAGAGTGCCGTGGCGTCATCCTAGCTCACAGCAACCTCAAACTCCTGGGCTCAAGCAATCCTCCTGCCTCAGCCTCCCGAGTAGCTGGGACTACAGGCATGAGCCACCATGCCCGGCTAATTTTTTCTATATATTTTTAGTTGTCCAATTAATTTCTTTCTAATTTTAGGAGAGACGGGGTCTCGCTCTTGCTCAGGCTGGTTTCGAACTCCTGAGCTCAAACAATCCGCCCGCCTCGGCCTCCCAGAGAGCTAGGATTACAGGCGTGAGCCACCGCGCCCGGCCTCGTTCTTCCAAGTTTTGATTTTGAGAGCCTTAAAGTTATATTGCTGGTGTCCTCTGTAAATCATATATGCTAATTCCATGAAGAGACTGTCAGTGTTGTATACGTCAAACTTAATCAGCACTGACGAAGCTTCATCCTTATAAATTTGGCCTTCCTTTCCTTTTTACATTGCTTTTCTTCCACAGTTAAACCCAATTATTTCAGTCCCTATTTTTATCCAGTTATTCAGAATTGTTTCAAACAGAGGTCCGTTAGAAATAGCCCTGTTGTTATTCTCTATTACTTTCCCCACTTCGTCCTAGCTCTGGAATCATAGGCAAGTTTCTTAACCTCTGGGCCTCAGTTGCCTGCAAAGTGGGGATGATCATCACTCCTCTGTCCAAAAGCAGGAAGCTGAAATTAGCTCCAAGATTCCTTTTGGTACTTGAGATGTATAATTCTGGCACTTGCTGCAGAAACTATCTTATGTTCCTCTTATTTCCCTCTCACCTCAGCCCTATCTGCGACAGCCCTATATGCTGTGTTAAAGTAGTGAACATCCCATCCCCTGTTTCTCAGTGTTCCTTGGAGGTGGAGGAGTAAAGCATCTGAACCAAAGATTCTCAACGACCCAGGCCCCATTCTTGGGAGCCTGATGATGTTCTCTGCTGACCAAAATAGCCTCAATAATAGAGGTAGTTTACTGCATTTGGTTTTCTGTTTTATGCAAAAGGTACTGAATTCTTAAATACTACAGTGATTGAAATAGGTAATTTTTCATTTCTTGATTACTAGCTTGAATGGGCAACGAAGCTACAGATTTTTAAAGTAAATTTAAGTAGTTTTCAGTTTATTATTTTTCTTTCTTTTGCCTTTCACAGGTAATGGTAATTCAGGATTTGAAGGACAGAGTCGTTATGTACCATCTTCTGGAATGTCTGCCAAGGAGCTCTGTGAAAATGATGACCTAGCGACCAGTTTGGTTCTTGATCCCTATTTAGGTTTTCAGACACATAAAATGAATACTAGGTAATTCTAAGTCTTTATCCTGAATGGGACAGATGGTGATGTGGAATTTAAGAAAATAATTGGCTAATTTTACTTTTGCTCAAAATTTAAAATGACATTAAAGGAAAGTTCTTTGCTACAGAAGGGTTTTCTGTGTGTGAGCCAAAAGCAGCAGGCAAGCCTCTAAGAGTCTTGTCAATTTTAATTTTGTGTTCTTATTTTACCTCAGAACATTTATATTAAAATATAAAGCTGGAGGAGCATCTTCATATTCTGTTTTAAATGTCGATAATTATCTTAGCTAAAAGAAAACTTTTACAGGCATCCTGCACAACCTTGAAAATGTATGATTGTTTCCTACTTAAAATAGGTTACATCCCTATTTTATTCATTATAGACTTTTCTTTTAAATAATTGCTACTATATATTAATATGTGGGGGATTTTGTCATCATGTTTAATCTTTGAAATTCAGCTAATCATTATATGAGTGAATTTTTTAAAGATGTGTTTGTATTCATGATGCAGGTAAGAAATTAGATGTGTGTTTTATTATCAGATGCTCTACATGTAAAGTATTACATTAATGTTGAAATCTGTCATCCTTTAACATCTGAGGCCTCTTTTATTCTAATTCTCTAAAATATCTCTCTCCTTAAAAAAGACCCTTAGATCATTTCGTAATTGTTTCTGCCACTAAACAGGCCAGAACTTTGCAATTTTTATCTCTTAACTTCCATGGCGAACAGTTTTTGAATCTGGTGGAAAAGAACAGCAGCAGGGATTTAGAAGGTAGAGCAAATGCTGGTGCCTTCTCTCATGTCCATCGTACCTGCACTGGGATTTATTTGCGCTCTGGTGTCACTATAGCAACCCTGAAAGATGGTCAGTGATAAAGTTGGATGAGGTAGGAATTAGTATGGGCAACTGGAGGAAAGTCTTGTGTTCCCTTTTTCTACTTTTGATTCTGTTCCTTGCCAGAATTAAAAAAAGATACTGTATGCTTCACTTAGTGATTATATTCTAGAAAGAAGTAATTGAGGTAAAAACGTGCCTTTGATATTTTAATGTAATTTTCTGTCATACATCTTTAGTCACTGAGATGAAGTGAAATGTTGGAATGGAGTTGAGAGATTATTTAAATAATTCCCTGCTAGATGGCTGGCCATTCTCTGGAAAATCAGCAAGTTTGGATGCCCTGATGTCCAAATAAGATCTAGTTTGCATTATTTTAAATCCACTTGCGTTTTTTCCCCCATTGAACATAAATGAGACTAGTGCTCATTCTCCTCCTAGAAGACTAAAAGATCCTGATAATATTTAAGTTGCCCTAAAGCCCATTTTTTTCTTTTCCCTGAGTTAAGAAATGTGAATATGCGAATCACTGTTTGACAGAATACCTAGTAGCATTCAGGGTGTCACTGCAAAGGCCCATAATTTTGACCTGTAGTCATCAAGAAAATTATGTTGATTATGTCTTCTACACTGAGCTATGGAAGCACATAAAACATTTCAGAAAGTGTTAAGTCAAAATTACAGTGAAAGTTATAGTATTTATGAAAGAACTTCATGTATTGCAGAACCTCCAGGATTTAGTCAAGAGGATGAAAGGTTACCTGTTATTGGTGTCTGCAATAGGAAAGAAACACTCCTGGACCACTGCTGCTCATAATTAGTTTACACATAAGAATTACTTGGGAATGTTGTTAAAATGCAAGTTCTGATTCAGTAGCTTTGGGTTAGGGCCTGAGATTCTGCATTTCTGGCAAACTCCCAGACTGCACTTGGATCCTAAACCATCTGGCCTGTGAGTTTCGTTGTGATGTGATAAGTGGACAGAAAAATTCCTTAACAGTAGTTTTCTAGGGCTTACCTAAAACCATGTAGTCATAAAATGTAAAGTTCAGGATTACCACACAAATGTTAACACTCAAGAAATCACCGTATCTGAGGACTCCTAAGTTAAAATGCATCTAGTACATAAATTTTTTCCCCATAGAAATTGAAGCATCTAAAATGAAACCTGGTTAAACAAGTTAAACCTGCAGAAAAATACATTTATTCATATTTTTCAGTGCAACATTTCATTGTACAGTTCGTAAAACAGCTTGTGGTGATGGAGACAGTCCTATTCCCTGGTTAGAGCAGGTGGGTTTCATAGCAGTGCTGGCTCTTGAGGCCAGTGCAGGCGCCTCCTCTTTCTACTAGAGGTGTTCAGAAGTTCATGTGCGTTTTAACAGACTTCGCGTAAGCTGCCATTTAAGAAGACACAGAAATTTTATTAGTGAAGCTTGTTAATCTTAGAGAAAGGTATGCATTTTCATTTTAATGGACTTACTTGAAAATGAAACTATCCCTTCTAGCTCTTCTTCATCTTTTGAGCAAGAATTTACCGGAATAATGACTTAAATCATTTTCAAAGATATTATTTCATAGAAAATAAGAATCTATAATGCTTTATTGGAGTAGTAGATAACCAATAAATACTTCTTAAATTGCTAATTTATTGACTCTTCTCTCAAAAGAAGTGACTGGAAAATTGATGGATCTCGGGTTTTAATTCTTCAAGCTGACTGCATATTGCTTGTCTAAGTGGTCTCTGTGTTCATGTTTATGCATCGGTAATTTGATTATTTTAAAATTTCTCTTTTTTATATCCTTTTGCCTCACGTCTCCTTCTTTCAATGTATCACCAGGAAGAATGTTTAGAAACAGTAGATGTTTAATGATTTGAGAATTTCCAAAACTGGGTATATTTTGACTATTTATTTTAATCTTAATATTTCACTGTATTTACTAACAAGTCACAGTTGTAGCATGAATACTTAGAAATAGTATAAACAAAATACTAATTTCAATTTATTAGGGAAAATTTGGATTTCATTGATTTTTGTTAATTATGAAACTTAAATCTTCTTTTTAACAAGAGAATAGAGTTGTTGGTAATGGCTCTGGTTTTTAAACAAAGAGCGGTCGCAGGATATTGTAAAGAGATGGATACTTTCACTAATGCCCCCCTTATTCAGTCTGTGTCACCCTGAGGTTTCATAGTATCCTGAGGAGAGGGGACACTCAGGCGAGCAGTGAGCTGAGCAGGAAATAGCATGAAAAAAACAACACGAATCATCTCAGGACACCTTTTCTTTGGAACTTCTCTTGGTTTCTCTGATCCAGACGTCAGCCTGTGCAGTCCTTACTCATCTTTCCACTGCCGTAACCCTCTAATTTTTATTTTACTAATGTATGTATTTGATTATCCATATCCACAGTTAGGTACGAATGTATACGTCACTTTAAATATCACTTTAAAATTGGGGGCAAATTTTTTAAACCTTCTAACTTAATCAATGGTGAGATTGTGTTATGTGGGAGGAAAAGAATTTTAGCAAGTTTTATCCTGCCATGTCTGCCCGTGGCTTCACAAAGTTCTTAAATACCACTGAATTTTAAGGATTTTTGCAACAACAAATATTGTAAGTCTGTTTAGAAATTACAAGTACAAATTATACAAATAGTTTTTTATTGTTGTTGTTTGTTTTTGCATTTATATAGCGCCTTTCCTTCGAGGAGCTCAAGGCATTTTTCAAAATCTGACAGTTTTCCTCACAACAACCCTGTGAGGTAGGTAGAGTGCATTACAAACAATAATAAGATACCAACTAACCTGTTTCAGCCTTTATAATGTTCTTTTGTGTTAAGTAATTTGAGGTGTCAGCATAAATACAAGTTTTAGAACATTTTGCAAACCTTTTTCAATAGTTTGGTAATAGTTATATTTTTTAAAAAACCACTTGTACTCCATAACAGGGTAATTTTAAGAGAAACAGATCATTCAACAAAAGATCAGGACTCCATGGAATTAGCTGAGCACTGATTGCAGGACTCAGCCAGGTATGTTTTTGGTTCTTGTTTATTTTCAGGTCAAGAAGGAATGGAGAGCTGTGGTTCTGTGACTCCTGCTCAGCATCTACAGACTGTCAGTTTGCAGCTAAACTTTTTCGAGGGGGAAATGTGTTCACTATGTTGCCTCATGGTCTTATTTTATATCTTAAAAATATTTGAGCATTTTTCTCTCTTCCTCTCTTTCCCTTTCACCCTTTTTTCTGTTCCCCTTCCTCTTTCCCCTCTCCCTCCAGTCAACTCTTGATTGTACATGCTAATGGAAGGGCACAGTAGTACAGCTAATACAAATCTACAACTTTTCTTCATTGCCACAGTGGTCTCTTGGGTTTGGAAACAGAAAAACCAAATAGCAAGAAAACCTGGGAAGTCAGTCTCTGGAAAGAGTGGGGAACAGGTGTGTGTGGGAGTGTGAATTCATATGTTTTTTTTTTTTTCCTGCCTCTTTTAATAATAGCCATTGTAAATGATGTTTTTTATTTCTTATACCAGCCATTGATCAGAAGTGTGGAAAGAGAAAAATAAATGTTTGATTTATTTAAAGTAGCAAATTTTATATTAAGAGAGGGAGGAAGGGGCATATTGATTTGGAAATGCCAAATACATATTTTTTCTTGCCTCCCCTCCCATCCTACCCCACCCCCAAATACTAAATTTAAAAATTCTTATTTACTTCCATTCCTTCTACTGTATCGTCAGTATACAAGCTAGAGCTATCTCTGGCTGGGCTCAGTGCTGGTGCTCGGCAAGCCTGTGGTCAGATGGCTCTTCTAACCATGAAACGACACAAGAGGGCTCTCCTGGGCCAAGTAATAGAGCAGGAATGAGAAGGGCCTGCGTATGTCCCAGCTCTTCCATTAATTAGCTCTAAGTCCTAAGGAAACTACTTAGCCTTGTTGGGCCTCATCTGTCTCATTTGTGGAACAAGAGGGTTGTTTTAAATGATCTGTGAAATTTTTTCTAGCTTTAAGTACCACAGCGTAAAGATAGCTTAATGTAGGTTGTATGGGATATTTAGAGTGATTATGGTTAAGGAGAAAAGAGAGGATATTTTTCTGTTCAAAATAGAAAATTATTTTCTTCTAAGGTCCTCAGTGGATTTTGCTCTGGCCCTAATAGCTGTTAACCATCTTAATTTTTATTTCCCATGCTATTTGTTATAATGGGGTTTGACTTGAGCTGTCAGCCAGGTGATTTTTATATATTATGGAAAACAACTGTCTGTTCTGCCTATCTGCACCCATAACCATTTTCTTCCTCCTTTTCCTAACTATCATTTCATGCCTATAGCAGCCAACTGTGACAGTAAGTTTTAACACTTTTGGAACAGGAAATTACGTTCAAAGTGAAATAGAGGTTCTTCCTAGCTGGTAGCAGGGGATAGTTTTGGAAGTTTTATTTGTGTTTGAGGCAATAAAGTCAGAAAAGCAGAAACAAAAGTCAACACAGGAAAGGTGGAAGGCAGAATATTACTAAATCAAGAGTTGACTATTTTATGTTGGTTTTAGCATATAAACTGTTTGGCATCATGAATGAAGGGTAAACAAAACTAAGGGTACCTGAAAGGCATTTTCAGGTGGGAATAACAATTTTCTGTAAGTGTAGAACACACATAAAGCCTATTAAAAATAGCCAAGATTCATTCCAGGTATGTAGCTTACTTTTCTGTAATGTTTTTAAGAGCTGTAGGTGAATTTAGCCCTAACTTCACCTTATTTTAAAATAGAGCAACCCCGCTGGTCAGTTCTGCATGGAGCATGTGAAGATATTAATAGCTCAGCTCTGTCAGTATAGTCTTGCCACCTAATGTCATGGACGATGTATTGCATTTGCTCAAAGTGAAATATTGCTTTTCTGATGACTGCTTTAAACTTGGGTGGGTTATCTGTTTCTCCCCATTTCATAGTTCATATTGCTTAAAGTATGTGCCTTAGCTAACAGTTGCTTTGTTGTCTTATCTGTCCTTCATGTGCAGATAACTCCATAGTGTCGGGCTGCAGCAGGAATGGTCTAGATTGGGTTTCTTCAAGATCGTATTTTGACAAGATCAATTGTGATGGCTATTAGCAATTAGTTTAATAGGATGTTTGGATGCCTGCCCAGTTCTGCAAGTCTTTTAGATTATTTTAGTGGTGGTTCTCCAACACCATATTCTGACAACCTAGTTAAAGGCATTCTGAATTGTTTAAAGGGCTTGCATTCATGTCTCTTAGGGCTTATATACTAATTGATTGAGAATGGAAAATAAAATAGATCATTGTCTGTTTCTTCATGTGATTATCCCTAAGATGTGTTTGAAGTCTGAGTTCTGCTTAATAGTGGTAAGAGTTCAGAGTTACTGAAACTAGAGTCCATAGCTAGTAAGTTCCTAATGGTATTAGTATGCATTAATATATCTGAGGTCTTCTGGAGATCCTATCCAGTAAACAGTATATACCTATTCGGACCTCATGTCTTCCCTCCTCCTGGTTCTAGTGCTTTCTTTTATTATTGCTAGCCAGCTGACCCTAGTTATTTGAATCCAGCCTTATTAAGACCCTCTGCTTAGACTTCCTCTCACTGTGCCTTCTTTTTTATTCTTTCCTGCCTATAATGTGCTTTTTTTAAAACTTTCCCAAACAAATGTTTTACCTTTGTTGTGATTTCTATACTTTTAGGAGCTGTAGCAATGCATATTTTTACCATATTAACATGTATTTGCATATCAATGCCTTGCTTAACTATTTGATGCATGTATGTCTTTTATTCCCAATTAAATTTTCCATTCAAGAACAGTAGCCATGTCTTCTCTCTCTTGCGTTTTTCCCTCAGCACTTCATGTGCTTCTGTGTACACACCACCTAATAAATATTCCTTCATGAAATATTGTGGCTTAAAAATCTTTACTGAAATGTTATGAATACATTTGTGATAGCTTCTCTAGAAAAAAAATTCTGAATGTTTCCTTTGCTGGAGTTTGTACTAGATCTTATTTCAGTTTTAGCATTTTCAGGTTTACGAGATGTGCAATTTTATTTTTTATTT